TCCAAAGGCAGGGCTGTGCAGATGTGAAATTCTTTGGGTGATATTTCCAGGATTTAAATCCTCTGTGATGATTTTTTTTTTTTTTTTTCTTGCATTGTTTAATGATGAGGCAGCAGAACCTCCCCACCCCACGCTGGATTTGTGAGGATCTCAGTCCTTGGCAAGTTCAGCAAAAGAAAAGTTCAAAAAATTTCAAAAGAAACGGGAAGGGGAGGTAAAAAAAAAAAATAAAAATAAAAATAAAAAAAAAGCAGGATGACACCAAGCAAGAAAACTCAGAGGTCGTAGCAGAGGGTGAGGATTCCTGGGAGGGAGGATAAATCTGAGAAATTAAAAACAAAAAAAAAAAAAAAAGCAGGGGGGAAATTTCAGCGATAAATTTGGCTCTTTAAAATTAAATGGAATTTTTGCTGTGCACAGTGGTAAAAAAAAAAAAAAAAAAAAAGTGGAATTCAATAGGAAATTTCAGAATCCCTTTGGATTTCACTGGGATTCAGTGACTGCCCCAAGAGCCAGAACGTTAAAAAAAGAATTCCCAATTTTTTTCCAGGTTTCTGGTTTGGAACAGCCCAAGGGGTGCTCAGCACCTTTGTCACTCTGGAAATATTCCTGAGTGGGTGGAAGGAGCTGTGCTTGGAATTCAGGGGGGTAGAAGTGACTCCAAACTCTTGAAATTTTCTTGAAATTGAAATTTGAAATTTAAAAAAAAAAAAAAAAAAAAAAAATCCTCTCAACGTTTTTCCTTGGGCATAACCTGCACTTTAAAAAATTTTTTAAAATTTAAAATTTTAAAAATTTTAAATTTAAAAAATTTTCTGACAGCAACCTTGAGTCTCTCACTGTGCCTGAAAAAATAAGTTCAAGTTGAATTCCAGTTGTTTGGAATGAAGAGCAGATTAATGGGAAGATTTAATTTAATTCAATTTAAATTTAATTTCCTTCCCATTATTTGGGAGTGGAGTAAAAATCAGGAATTTCCCAGGCAGGAAGAGTTTTAGAAGGATTTGGAATTCCTGGTTTCCTTTGGTGTCACAGAAAAGTTGCAAGATTTTTCCCTGGGGAAAAAAAAAACCAAAAAATAAAAAAAATGTGAAATGTGATTTTGAGATACCTCAGCAATGCTTTGTGTCCTGTATCTGTTAAATCACTTTTTTTTTTTAATTTTATTTTTTTAACCCGAATTTTGTGTTGTGGAAGGGGCTGAACTTTGAATTCCTAACAAAACCCTCTTGGATTATTTTCACAGGTTTGCTCTAGCATTGTCCAATTCCCCCTCTCATCCCCAAAGCTTTCCTGGGTGTTTGTGAAGACTTTTCCTGGGTAATAACGAAATTCTGCTTTTCAGTCAGCCTGGGATTCCCTTTGTCCTCCGTGCCTGCTGTGTCTCCTGTTGGAATATCCTCAGGGAAAA